CCGGCCTGTTCCTGCTCCACGCACCAAGCCTACGGTGTGCGTCGACAGCCCAGCCCGGCCTGTCCCTGCTCCACGCACCAAGCCTACGGTGTGCGTCGCCAGCCCAGTCCGGCCTGTTCCTGCTCCACGCACCAAGCCTACGGTGTGCGTCGACAGCCCAGCCCGGCCTGTCCCTGCTCCACGCACCAAGCCTACGGTGTGCGTCGACAGCCCAGCCCGGCCTGTCCCTGCTCCACGCACCAAGCCTACGGTGTGCGTCGCCAGCCCTGCCCGGCCTGTTCCTGCTCCACGCACCAAGCCTACGGTGTGCGTCGACAGCCCAGCCCGGCCTGTTCCTGCTCCACGCACCAAACCTACGGTGTGCGTCGCCAGCCCAGTCCGGCCTGTTCCTGCTCCACGCACCAAGCCTACGGTGTGCGTCGCCAGCCCTGCCCGGCCTGTTCCTGCTCCACGCACCAAGCCTACGGTGTGCGTCGCCAGCCCTGTCCGGCCTGTCCCTGCTCCACGCACCAAGCCTACGGTGTGCGTCGTCAGCCCAGCCCGGCCTGTCCCTGCTCCATGCACCAAGCCTACGGGGTGCGTCGCCAGCCCGGCCCGGCCTGTCCCTGCTCCACGCACCAAGTCTACGGTGCGCGTCGCCAGCCCGGTCCGGCCTGTTCCTGCCACTCGCACCAAGTCTACGGTGCGCGTCGCCAGCCCGGCCCGGTCCGTTCCTGCCACTCGCACCAAGCCAGGGGTGCGAGTCGTCAGTCCGGCACAACCCGTGCCTGGGTCATCGGTGCCAATTCAGGTACCGCTCAACTGCTCCACTAAGGAGCTGAAGCCTACCGCTCCTGCTACGTCCAGTCCAGCTCCAGCCAGCGGGGCCAGACCGGACCAGGGGCGCTATGGGGGGTTTGTTGGAGGGTGGTGGGCAAGACCGGAGCCGGAGCCGCCGCCGAGGAGGAATGCCCACCCAGCCCTCCCCTGTTTTGCTCGTATTTAGGCGCGGTCGCAGTCCGCGCCTTTAGGGGGGGGGGTACTGTCACACCCTGGCTCTGGGACTCTATATGTTGAGCCAGGGTGTGTTCATTCTATGTGTTCTGTTTCTTTGTTTGGGTGTTCTAGGTTGTCTGTTTCTATGTTTGCCTGTGTGACTCCCAATCAGAGGCAACGAGTGTCAGCTGTCGGCTGGTTGTCTCTGATTGGGAGCCATATTTAACTGTCTGTGTTTCACTTGGTGTTTGTGGGTTTTTGTTCCGTGTCGGTATTTGTTTACCGTGGACTTCACGAGTCGTTTCTTGTTTTGTATTTTTGAAACTTTAACTAATTAAAGTCATGTTTGTTTCTCACGCTGCGCCTTGGTCTACTCACTCATACGACGATCGTGACAAGACTGGCATTCAGTTCTCACCACATCTCTCATTTTAGTGCATCAAAACCACAACCTCTTTTCTCACCTCTCTTCATCTGTTTATCTGGACGAAAACACCAGACCCCAGCTGCTCAATTAGGGTGTAGAGTATAGAGTGTTTGAAGAACACAGAAAACAAGCTAAAAGCATTCAACACGAGTTCAATGTACATTTTCTCTCACTTTTCAGGGGGGAAAAAGTATCTTATTAATAGTTTTGTTAACTCTTTCTCTTAATGAAAACCTCTGTCACCTAAGGGTCCAATGCAGCCATTTTTATCTCAATATAAAATAATTTCTGGATAACAATTAAGTACCTAACTTTGATTGTTCACAATGAAAATTGTCAAAAAGTAACAAAAATTGCTTCATAGCAAATAACAATTTCTCAAGCAATAATTTTCCTAGGACTGTCCGGGAGTGGTCTTAGTGGGGAGGGAAAAACTGAAAACTAGCTGTTATTTGCAGAGAGATCAGGAACTCTCTTTCTTATTGGTCTAATAATTTACAGCCTGGTGATGTCACCAGGCAGGCCAAAGCTCCATCTCACCAAAACTGGCAGACATTTCAGGAGCTCTTTTTAAACAGCTTACACTAAAAGGGCATTATATCATTTTCACAATTACACAGTCTTATTCCAACCTCCTAGTGTGGAAATATATGTGACCGGTTACAGGAACTGAGGCGTTTGACGCCTGTTCTTAATTCACAATAGGGCCGTTTGAAAATATACAGTGCATTCGGAAAGTATTCAGACCCCTTGACTTTTTCCACATTTTGTTACATTACAGCCTTATTCTAAAATGGATTATAAAAAAATAATAATAATCTACACACAATACCTGTCACGTTGTATAATGATTAGAAGACAGGCGCAGGAATACGTATTATGGGTTTTATTTACTTCACCTAACACAAACACGTATATATATATATATATTTACATTTACATTTTAGTCATTTAGCAGACGCTCTTATCCAGAGCGACTTACAGTTAGTGAATACATATTTTTTTATACTGGCCCCCCGTGGGAATCGAACCCACAACCCTGGCGTTGCAAACGCCATGCTCTATCAACTGAGCTACATCCCTGCCGGCCATTCCCTCCCCTGCTATATATATATCAAAGGGATGTAACCCAAACAAAGAGCGAGGTGTAACCTCTACACAATACACGGGACGAGACCCGTAAACAACAAGAGCACTATACACGGTACTCACGAGACCAACGGACATGGGACAACAATCGACAAGGACAATGGGGAACAGAGGGCACATATATACACATACTAATCAGGGGGAATGGGAACCAGGTGTGCGTAATGAGACAAGACAGTCCGGTGTTGGTGGTAATGATCTAGTTCAGTGACACCTAGAAGGCCGGTGACGTAGACCTCTGGAGCTGGTGATCGGAATGAGCAGCAGTACCGGGGGGATCCGTGACAATACCCCATAATGACAAAGCAAAAACAGGTTTTTAGTAATGTTTGCAAATTTATAAAATATACAAAACTGAAATATCACATTCACATAAGTATTCAGACCCTTTCCTCAGTACTTTGTTGAAGCACCTTTGGCAGCATGTATTTGGGGAGTCTCTCCCATTCTTCTCTGCAGATCCACTCAAGCTCTGTCAGGTTGGATGGGGCGCATCGCTGCACAGATATTTTCAGGTCACTTCAGAGATGTTAGATCAGGTTCAAGTCCGGGCTCTGGCTGGGCCACTCATGGACATTCAGAGACTTGTCCCGAAGCCACCCCTGCGTTGTCTTGGTTGTGTGCTTAGGGTCGTTGTCCTGTTGGAAGGTGAACCTTCGCCCCAGTCTGAGGTCGTGAGCGCTCTGAAGCAGGTTTTCATCAAGGATCTCTCTGTACTTTCCTCCGTTCATCTTTCCCTCGGTCCCGATTTGTCTCCCAGTCCCTGCCGCTGAAAAACATACCCACAGCATGGTGCGGCCACCACCATGCTTCACCGTAGGGATGGTGCCAGTTTTCCTCCAGACGTGATGCTTGGCATTCAGGCCAAAGAGTTCAATCTAGGTTTCTTCAGACCAGAGAATCTTGTTTCTCATGTTCTTCAGGTGCCTTTTGGCAAACTCCAAGCGGGCTGTCATGTGCCTTTTACTGAGAAGTGGCTTCCGTCTGGCCACTCTAGCATAAAAGCCTAATTGGTGGAGTGCTGCAGAGATGGTTGTACTTCTGGAAGGTTCTCCCATCTCCATCAGAGTGACAATCGGAATTTTGGTCACCTCCCTGTCCAAGGCCCTTCTCCCCAGATTGCTCAGTTTGGCCGGGCGGCCAGCTCTAGGAAGAGTCTTGGTGGTTCCAAACTTCTTCCATTTAAGAATGATGGAGGCCATTGTGTTCTTGGGGACCTTCAATGCTGCAGACATTTTGTGGTACCCTTCCCCAGATCTATGCCTCGACCTCATGGCTTGGTTTTTGCTCTGACATTCACCGTCAATCAATTGAATTTACCACAGGTGGACTTCAATCAAGTTGTAAGAACATCTCAAGGATGATCAATGGACACAGGATGCACCTGAGCTCAATTTTGAGTCTTATAGCAAAGGGTCTGAATACTTATGTAAATAAGGTGTTTCTGTTTTTTATTTTCTAGAAATGTACAAACATTTCTAAAAACCTGTTTTCACTTTGTCATTATGGAGTATTGTGTGTAGATTAAAGAGGAAAATGTTTTATTTAATCAATTTTAGAATAAGGCTGTAACGTAACAACATTTTGAAAAAGTCAAGGGGTCTGAATACTTTTCAAATGCACTTTATATATATATTTATTTTTTTTTTTGCAGAAATGCCTTCTTGAACATGTGAACTTTCATGTGCCTTATTTAAAAACTTGTATTGAATCTGTTAATATGAATAAAGATGTTCAATTATGAGCTCTGAGCTATACAGGGAGAAAGAAATCATCCTTCCTGGCTGGTCATGATTGGCTGAGAGATGAGTCCTGATTGGTCTTTCATGTCACAGGGTTCTGTCTATAACAGAATGGGGGCTTTGCTGGTCAGTATATAGTTAATCTTTGCTAGTGCAGATTTTTGGAAATATAAAGCTTTGGACAACTGCAAAAGTGTTGATACAGCCCTCAAAAGCATTGCCTCCCTGAATATAGCTGGGTTTAGTAGAGAGACTACTTTCTGGAGGACAATGCAATGCTGACTCGCATGTTTTTACATGTGTGTAAGGGGCTAAGGCTTAAGAGGGTGTGAACAATGCTATATGGGCGTAAACAAAGAACAGCTCTCTAGGAAGTGTGAAAAGCTAATTTCTCCTACTTGCCTACTTAGTGGGATAACACGTTTATCAACTTTTAAAGCAGCATAACTTTCCCATGTTTCCTCCAACTACAGTGTATGATATACCATTTTAAAACTCTGAATCTGCACTTTTCATAACAAATAAACAAATCACTTACATTTGATATAAGCCTCAATAGAGAAATCCGGACACATATAGAAATGAGGAAAATCAAGTTTTTGACTGCACTGGGACTTTAATGCGTATACAATAGGTGGATACACAGGGATTTGATGAAAGCAAGTAACATACTACATATACTCTACTGACATTGGCCTTAGCTTTATTTATTTCCTGGTGGTGTAGATGATGATGAAGCTGGTCAGACAGCAGAGGAGAACTCCAGTTCTTATGATGGAGAGAAGGACCAGGATTCTCATCTGTGGATCAGCAACTGAAATAACAAGTATTCTAGGGCTAGGTTACTATAAGTTGCTGTTGTACTTTATTTATATTCTGTGGCACTTTCATGGTACATCATATTACTTTATTTACAAAAGATTCTCACTTAAAATAACAGAATAAATATACCTTCTTCACAGTGCTCTGTAAGGTCCTTTTCAGAATCTTTGTGACCTGTTGGATGATTAGGAGAGTTATATTAAGAGAGAACATTATAGTATTTTATCTCTAACATTTACTCAATAATATCTCTGATACATCAGATACATGTTAGTGCATTTGGAGTCATAGCAGACAAGTTGTTGAAAATATTACCATGGACCTTCAGGACAGTTGCATTGGTGAAAATGACGTATTTATCGAACATTCCACAGAAGTAAAGACCAGAATCAGCTACATCCAACTCTGTGATTTTGAGGAAGATTATTCTATGGCTGACAAACATTTCCATATGGCTGGGCTGAAAACCATGGTAATGCTGGACAGGTAACTCAGAGCTGTACATAGACGCGATGCATAGGGGCTCTGAGTCGTTGACTTGCTTGAACCAGCCAACGTGTCCTGGAGCTCCAGTGACATTGGTGCACTGCAAAGTGACATTATCTCCAGGATGGATCACCACTGAGGGAGGAGGAGAGACCGACACAACAGGGGTCAGATCTGAAAGAGAGAAGACAAAGGTTTAGAAACAATTCCAAACAAGAACTTTCTGTCCACTCATGCACTACTATACCTAAACCTAGTCTCAACTATGAATCATAAACTCGTAATGACTTAGAAAACTTACACAAGCTGTAGAGGACAAGAGCTGGTAAACATATGCGTGCCATTCTGTGCTTAGATCTACACTGCCAGTCCATGAAGGAAGGACTACACCTTTAGATGAAAGTAATTTGTGATTAGGGGCGGGACATGGTGTGAGAGCCATAGCTGCATAAAATGACCACAGATTATTTTGTTCTTAACACCAACCACTGACTTTCCACTCTTACATTTGGTTTGAGAGAGAGAATGATAATATATTATTGTAGGCTGTAGTTTATCATCATAGAAGTTCCCAGAATTACCATTTTAAGTTGGTAAAACATACTGTATATTGTCAATTTTAAAGTAATAACGGGTCTGGATAGTAAACATTAAAAATATGTTTTCACAGTGATGACACCCATTAAAGTTGTGTCTAGTCATTATTTTGGCCATTCTATCTGGGGTGGATAACAATTGGCTGGAGTTGGTGGTTGTTAACCAATAGGGGGCACTCCTCTGACTGCACCAAGTAGATCACTGAACGGAAGAACACATGCGTTTGGCAGGAGCATTGGCTTTTAGTCACACTATAGTATACCTTAAAGGTATTGTGAGCTTCGCTGCATTACATTTGATCATAGAAGCTAAAAACAATAGTGTCAGCCCAACAGGACGCTCAGGTCTGTCTACCGATTTCAATCAGAATCAGAACTATTTAAAACATTACCCCGTTTGCTACCAATGGAACATTCTCAGTCTAGGTTGCTATAGCATGCTGTTGCACTTTATTTATATTCTGCGGTACTTTCATGGTACATCATATTAATTAATTTACGAAAGATTCTCACTTAACATAACAGAATAAACATACCTTCTTCACAGTGCTCTGTAAGGTACTTTTCTGAATGGTTGTGACCTTTTGGATGATTAGGAGAGATAAATATTCCCACTGTTATTCCAACTGTAGTACGATAGTATTATATCTCCAACATTTTCTCAATAATATCTCTGATACCTCATATACATGTTAGTGCATTTGGAGTCATAGCAGACAAGTTGTTGAAAAGATTACCTTGGAACTTCAGGAGAGTTGCATTGGTGAAGATGATGTATTTATCGAACATTCCACAGAAGTAAAGACCAGAATCAGCTACATCCAACTCTGTGATTTTGAGGAAGATTATTCTATGGCTGACAAACATTTCCATATGGCTGGGCTGAAAACCATTGTGAAGCTGGACAGGTGACTCAGAGCTGTACATAGACGCGATGCCTAGGGGCTCTGAGTCGTTGACTTGCTTGAACCAGCCAACGTGTCCTGGAGCTCTAGTGACATTGGTGCACTGCAGAGTGACATTATCTCCAGGATGGACCACCCCTGAGGGAGGAGGAGAGACAGACACAACAGGGGTCAGATCTGAAAGAGAGAAGACAAAGGTTTAGAAACAATTCCAAACAAGAACTTTCTGTCCACTCATGCACTACTATACCTAAACCTAGTCTCAACTATGAATCACATAATCATAATGACTTAGAAAACTTACACAAGCCATAGAGGACAAGAGCTGATATAAATATGTGTGCCATTCTGTGTTTAGATCTACACTGCCAGACCGTGAAGGAAGGACTCCATCTTTAGATGAAAGTAATTTGTGATTAGGGGCGGAACATGGTGTGAGACCACAGATAATGTTTTCTTATCACCAACCACTGATTTTCCACTCTTGCATTTGGTTTGAGAGAGCGAAGGATAATATATTTTAGTTGTAGGCTGTAGTTTATCATCATAGAGGTTACCAGAATTGTACCATTTTAAGTTGGTCAAACATACTGTATATTGTCAATTTTAAAGTAATAACGTTTTAAATAAAGGGTCTGGATGACCGTTAGTAAATACTCCAAATCTGTTTTCACAGTGATGACACCCAGAACGGTTGCATTGAATAATTGTATTGGGCGTTAGGAGCTCCTGGTATGGGTAACTTTTGGCTGGAAATGGCACTCTTCTGACTGCACCAAGTAAATCACTGAACTTAGGAACTCTTGCGGATGACAGGAGCATTGGCTTGTAGTCCACCTAATGTATACCTTAAAAGGGATTGTCCTTTGAAAATGAAGGCCAGGCTTTAGCTTAACTTCATTAAGACAATGGTATCTATCCTCGTTTGAAAACGAAGGCCAGGCATTAGCTAAACTTCATTCTTTATCCAAAAAGTGACATTCTGAGCTTCGCTGCATTACATTTGATCATAGAAGATAAACACAATAGTGTCAATCCAACAGGATGCTCAGCTCTGTCCATCCGGTCTCTTGTAATCTGGGTTAGGTGAAGCCACCACAGGGGCACTTAGCCTACCACTGGGGAAACTAGCAAATTCTGCTGAAATGCTACATGACATACTGCAGACTATACAATGCATCTCAGAAACGAAATAACCTCATTTGAGAAGTGGTCTACAAGGGTAGACTTTTCCACTCAAGACACAGGTTTGAAAAGGATGACAGCTATTAAGATGTTCGCACCACTGTGCAAAGTTCTTCTACTTGGAGAGATGGGTACGTTTTTAAAACTTTATTTTGATGGTATGTTCAATAGAACAACATTTACAAAAAAAAATCTGACATGTTTCAGCATAGCCTTCATCAGGGTGTATAATGGTACAATTGATTTCATTAACATTCACAGACACTTTGAGGCAATCCAATCTTGCACTTAAAATCAAATCAAATGTTATTGGTCGCATACACATGTTTAGCAGATGTTATTGCGGGTGTAGCGAAATGCTTGTGTTCCTAGTTCCAACAGTGCAGTAATATCTGTGTGTATACACTACAAAAACATAAGGTGTCATTGTACACTGATGATTCCTGTTTTCTTTTAAATCCACAATTTGGATCCCTCCATAGCCTCATAGAGGATCTAGATAATGTGTCTAACCTCTCTGGATTACAACCAAATTATGATAAATGTACTATATTACGTATACGTACAAAAAAATACAACTTTTATATTACCGTGTAGTTTACCAATAAAATGGTCTGATGGTGACGTGGACATACTCGGTATTCATATCCCAAAATAAATAAATAATCTCACTACAATACATTTTTATAGAAATTTAGCAAAAATAGATAAGATCTTGCTACCGTGGAAAGGAAAATACCTGTCTATTTGTGGGAAAATCACCCTGATTAACTCTTTAGTCATATCCCAGTTTACCTATTTGCTTATGGCCTTGCCTACACCTAGCGACTTATGTTTTTAAATTATATGAGCAAAAAATATTCCATTTTATTTGGAACGGCAAGCCAGACAAAATGAAATGGGCCTATTTATATAATGAATATGAATTCGGAGGGCAGAAATGATTAAATATTATAGCATTAGACCTCTCACTAAAGGCTTCAGTCATACAAAAGTTATACTTAAATCCGAACTGGTTCTCTAGCAGATTAGTAAGAATGTCTCACCCCATGTTCAAGAATGGCCTTTTTCCCTTTATGCAGGCAAGTGGAAGGAGGAGAAAGTAACAAACTTTTCTGTCGGCCCTGCATTAAAGACAAAAATTTGTTAAAGAAAATTGTGATAAATAAAAAAGTATACCGGTATCATTTAAGGACCAAACAATTGACAGCTGTGCCATGTAGATTGCAAAATATACCGATATACCGATTCCATGGCACATGGTATATGAACTGATACACAAAACTTAGAGTTTTTCCATTTAAATGATTAGACAAAATTCTTGCAACCAATAGAATGGTATATATATGGGGGTTACAACCATCCCAGCTCTGCACATTTTTCTGCGAAGAGACAGAATCATTAGATAATTTGTTTTGGTACTGTCCATTTGTAGCTAGTTTTTGGTCGCAGGTTCAGGAATGGCTGGAGAATTGCAACAATTAACTGGAGCTAACTCTGCAAATAGCACTACTGGGTGATTAAAAAAGTCATAGATCAACAATATAATAATACTCTTAGCAAAAATATTAATCTTTAATTTACAATCTGTAGAAACTATAAGAATAGAAAGGTTCAGAACGTTTGTGAAACATCACAGCACAGTTAAAAAATATATGGCAAATAGAAATCAAAACTGGATGGTGTTCAGAGATAGATGGGAGGGGTTGAGTGGAGCTGAAGGATGGGACTAAAAACAAACAAAAGATAACTATTGTCAAATATACTGTGTCTGTAAAATGTATATAGTATGTATAAACTGGAGGTAGAAGCCTAAGTGTTGTTGTCCATTAGTTTACTCCAATATACTCCAGTATATACAGTGCCTTCGGAAATTATTCAGACCCCTTCCCTTTTTCCACATTTTGTTACGTTACAGCCTTATTCTAAAATTGATTCAATTAATTGTTTTCCTCATCAATCTACACACAATACCCCATAATGACAACGTGAAAACAGGTGATGGGATGTATAGACATTATGGGCGGTATATGGATAGAGTATGTAGTATATCTGAAGAATACGTTGTCTAGAATAGTATATGGACAACAATAGTTAAACAGCATAGGCCTTGACTAGAATACAGTATATACAGTGGGGAAAAAATGTATTTAGTCAGCCACCAATTGTGCAAGTTCTCCCACTTAAAAAGATGAGAGAGGCCTGTAATTTTCATCATAGGTACACGTCAACTATGACAGACAAATTGAGGAACAAAAATCCAGAAAATCACATTGTAGGATTTTTAATGAATTTATTTGCAAATTATGGTGGAAAATAAGTATTTGGTCACCGACAAACAAGCAAGATTTCTGGCTCTCACAGACCTGTAACTTCTTCTTTAAGAGGCTCCTCTGTCCTCCACTCGTTACCTGTATTAATGGCACCTGTTTGAACTTGTTATCAGTATAAAAGACACCTGTCCACAACCTCAAACAGTCACACTCCAAACTCCACTATGGCCAAGACCAAAGAGCTGTCAAAGGACACCAGAAACAAAATTGTAGACCTGCACGAGGCTGGGAAGACTGAATCTGCAATAGGTAAGCAGCTTGGTTTGAAGAAATCAACTGTGGGAGCAATTATTAGGAAATGGAAGACATACAAGACCACTGATAATCTCCCACGATCTGGGGCTCCACGCAAGATCTCACCCCGTGGGGTCAAAATGATCACAAGAACGGTGAGCAAAAATCCCGAACCACACAGGGGGACCTAGTGAATGACCTGCAGAGAGCTGGGACCAAAGTAACAAAGCCTACCATTAGTAACACACTACGCCGCCAGGGACTAAAATCCTGCAGTGCCAGACGTGTCCCCCTGCTTAAGCCAGTACATGTCCAGGCCCGTCTGAAGTTTGCTCGAGTGCATTTGGATGATCCAGAAGAGGATTGGGAGAATGTCATATGAAACCAAAATATAACTTTTTGGTAAAAACTCAACTCGTCGTGTTTGGAGGACAAAGAATGCTGAGTTGCATCCAAAGAACACCATACCTACTGTGAAGCATTGGGGTGGAAACATCATGCTTTGGGGCTGTTTTTCTGCAAATGGACCAGGACGACTGATCCGTGTAAAGGAAAGAATGAATGGGACCATGTATCGTGAGATTTTTAGTGAAAACCTCCTTCCATCAGCAAGGGCATTGAAGATGAAACGTTGCTGGGTCTTTCAGCATGACAATGATGCCAAACACACCCCCCGGGCAACGAAGGAGTGGCTTCGTAAGAAGCATTTCAAGGTCCTGGAGTGGCCTAGCCAGTCTCCAGATCTCAACCCCATACAAAATCTTTGGAGGGAGTTGAAAGTCCGTGTTGCCCAGCGACAGCCCCAAAACATCACTGCTCTAGAGGAGATCTGCATGGAGGAATGGGCCAAAATACCAGCAACAGTGTGTGAAAACCTTGTGAAGACTTACAGAAAACGTTTGACCTGTGTCATTGTCAACAAAGGGTATATAACAAAGTATTGAGAAACTTTTGTTATTGACCAAATACTTATTTTCCACCATAATTTGCAAATAAATTCATAAAAAATCCTACAATGTGATTTTCTGATTTTTTTTCTTCTCATTTTGTCTGTCATAGTTGACGTGTACCTATGATGAAAATTACAGGCCTCTCTCATCTTTTTAAGTGGGAGAACTTGCACAATTGGTGGCTGACTAAATACTTATTTTCCCCACTGTACATATGAAGCAGGTAAAACAGTATGTCAACATTATTAAAGTGACCATAGGCAGCAGCCTCTAAGTTGCAGGCAATCCAATCTTTTAATGTATATAAGGTTTAACTGCCTCTATAAAAGCGACCTGGCCATGCATTTATCCTGGTACAAGCAACCCTTCGGAGAAAAAACTCATCTCATCTCAACCATCTATAAGTTGACAAAGGTGCTACATTTTACCATGAGTTTAAAGGGTAACCCTGCTTCTCAGTGCAAGCAGCAAGGAATAAATCACCTCAGCATTTCAGACATGAAAAGCTCGGATTCAGCAAAGTACTACTGTGGAAGCGCACACTCAAATGGTGAATTTGGAAGAATGTTCAAGAAAAGGACATTTCGCAACCTGTCCATCCAACAGTCATACATTTCGGTTACATGTTGTGCAGACAGTCATTCTCAGTTCATTGTACGCTGATGATTCCTGTTTTCTTTAAATCCACAATTTGGATCCCTCCATAGCCTCATAGAGGATCAGATATGTGTCTAACCTCTCTGGATTACAACCAAATTATGATAAATGTACTATATTACGTATACGTACAAAAAAGACAACTTTTATATTACCGTGTAGTTTACCAATAAATGGTCTGATGTGACGTGGACATACTCGTATTCATATCCCGAAATAAATAAATAATCTCACTACAATACATTTTTATAGAAATTTAGCAAAATAGATAAGATCTTGCTACCGTGGAAAGGAAAATACCTGTCTATTTGTGGGAAAATCACCCTGATTAACTCTTTAGTCATATCCCAGTTTACCTATTTGCTTATGGCCTTGCCTACACCTAGCGACTTATGTTTTTAAATTATGAGCAAAAATATTCCATTTTATTTGGAACGGCAAGCCAGACAAAATGAAATGGGCCTATTTATATAATGAATATGAATTCGGAGGGCAGAAATGATTAAATATTATAGCATTAGACCTCTCACTAAAGGCTTCAGTCATACAAAAGTTATACTTAAATCCGAACTGGTTCTCTAGCAGATTAGTAAGAATGTCTCACCCCATGTTCAAGAATGGCCTTTTTCCCTTTATGCAGGCAAGTGGAAGGAGGAGAAAGTAACGAACTTTTCTGTCGGCCCTGCATTAAAGACAAAAATTCGTTAAAGAAAATTGTGATAAATAAAAAAGTATACCGGTTTCATTTAAGGACCAAACAATTGACAGCTGTGCCATGTAGATTGCAAAATATACCGATATACCGATTCCATGGCACATGGTATATGAACTAATACACAAAACTTAGAGTTTTTCCATTTAAATGATTAGACAAAATTCTTGCAACCAATAGAATGGTATATATATGGGGGTTACAACCATCCCAGCTCTGCACATTTTTCTGCGAAGAGACAGAATCATTAGATAATTTGTTTTGGTACTGTCCATTTGTAGCTAGTTTTTGGTCGCAGGTTCAGGAATGGCTGGAGAATTGCAACAATTAACTGGAGCTAACTCTGCAAATAGCACTACTGGGTGATTTAAAAAGTCATAGATCAACAATATAATAATACTCTTAGCAAAAATGTTAATCTTTAATTTACAATCTGTAGAAACTATAAGAATAGAAAGGTTCAGAACGTTTGTGAAACATCACAGCACAGTTTAAAAATATATGGCAAATAGAAATCAAAACTGGATGGTGTTCAGAGATAGATGGGAGGGGTTGAGTGGAGCTGAAGGATGGGACTAAAAACAAACAAAAGATAACTATTGTCAAATATACTGTGTCTGTAAAATGTATATAGTATGTATAAACTGGAGGTAGAAGCCTAAGTGTTGTTGTCCATTAGTTTACTCCAATATACTCCAGTATATACAGTGCCTTCGGAAATTATTCAGACCCCTTCCCTTTTTCCACATTTTGTTACGTTACAGCCTTATTCTAAAATTGATTCAATTAATTGTTTTCCTCATCAATCTACACACAATACCCCATAATGACAACGTGAAAACAGGTGATGGGATGTATAGACATTATGGGCGGTATATGGATAGAGTATGTAGTATATCTGAAGAATACGTTGTCTAGAATAGTATATGGACAACAATAGTTAAACAACATTATTAAAGTGACCATAGGCAGCAGCCTCTAAGTTGCAGGCAATCCAATCTTTTAATGTATATAAGGTTTAATATATCTTTGTAAGATGTTTTCTTTTGTTTTTTTGTAGTTCATGCGCTAGATGGGACTGAGCCCTCTGCCATAAAACAGGAGAGTGGTCTCATGTCAGCCAATGTTGGAGACACAGTGGTTCTGCACTGCCTCTATAAAAGCGACATGGCCATGCATTTCTCCTGGTACAAGCAACCCTTCGGAGAAAAACCTCATCTCATCTCAACCATCTATAAGTATGACAAAGGTGCTACATTTTACCATGAGTTTAAGGATAACCCTCGCTTCTCAGTGCAAAGCAGCAAAGGAATAAATCACCTCAGCATTTCAGACATGAAAAGCTCGGATTCAGCCACGTACTACTGTGGAAGCGCACACTCAAATGTGGTGGAATTTGGAAAAGGAACCATTCTCAATGTAAAAGGTATAGTACTGATTTTCAGACATTCCAAAAAAATGTAATTGATCGATAAAGAGCAGTAAATATAAAAGTAACATTTTGGATATAATCTTACTACAGCATATTCAACACTGATTTACTGACATATATAAACACTATTTTCAGGTTCAGAGTTCAACAGTAAGACTGTGCTCCAGCAGTCTGTATCTGAGTCAGTCCAGCCAGGAGACTCTGTGACTCTGAACTGTACAATACACACCGAGACATGTGCAGCAGGACACAGTGTCTATTGGTTCAGACATGGCTCAGGAGAATCCCATCCAGGAATCATTTACACCCATGGAGACAGGAGTGATCAGTGTGAGAACAGCCCTGAGGCTGGGTCTCCTACACAGAGCTGTGTCTACAACCTCCCCAAGAGGAACCTCAGCCTCTCTGATGCTGGGACTTACTACTGTGCTGTGGCTTCATGTGGGGAAATACTGTTTGGAGACGGGACCAAGCTGTACATTCATGGTAAATATAATATGCTTGTTTATTAACAATATACAAACATGACCCTTAGGTATTACACTGTATTAGCCAATACTATATTATATACAGGGTTGGGGAGTAACTGGGGAGTAACTGATTACATGTAATCAGTTGTATGTCAACTTTTTTTTTTTTACAGAAACATAATCAGTTACGTTACCAGCAAAAATATTGCAATCAGATTTCAGATACTTTTGAAAAGCTAAATGATGAATTATTGGATTACTGCTAAATTCAGAAAGGATGGTTGGGGAAAAATACATTATAACACCTTTCTGTTTTCTCAATGACATTCAATTCAGCATTGAAAAAAGGCGCAAATTAAATTTTGTTTCACCTGATTGAGTCTGACCACAAGTCAGAGACCACTAAGTTACATAACTGATTATAATTTTGGGGACAGGTAACTAGTAACTGTAACAAATTACATTTAGAAAGTAACCTACCCAACCCTGATTACATAAAAATATACAAAAATTGAAAATATAAAAGGTTTAATTCTTTCAGGTGGTGATATTCAGGTGGATATGAGGATCCTTGTACTCCTCTCCATCATAAGAACTGGAGCCCTCCTCTGCTGTCTGACCATCCTCTTTATCATCTACCTCATCAGGAAATAGATCAATTCAATGATTCAGTTTCTCAATCCTTCAGCTGTTACAAATGCAAATGTTGTTTACTGTCTGTTCAAATGTTTCAGCACTTATCAACTTAGGTGACATACTGTAAAAGTAAAATGCCCATATGTTGATGATGCAGATTCACTTGTAATCATTTGGGGTTCCACCTTGAACATTTTGGAAAACCTTTAAAAAACGTATTCTCATGAACCATTATCGCAAATAACACAAATGTACATGATATATATAGTGGCTTGCGAAGGTATTCACCCCCCTTGGCATTTTTCCTATTTTGTTGCCTTACAACCTGGAATTAAAATAGATTTTTGGGGGGGGGTTGTATCATTTGATTTACACAACATGCCTACCACTTTGAAAATGCAAAATATTTTTTGGGGTGAAACAAACAAGAACTAAGACTAAAACATAAAAAACTTGAGCGTAAATGTCTCTATAAGCTTGGCACATCTAGCCACTGGGATTTTTGCCCATTCTTCAAGGCAAAACTGCTCCAGCTCCTTCAAGTTGGATGGGTTCCGCTGGTGTACAGCAATCTTTAAGTCATACCACAGATTCTCAATTGGATTGAGTTCTGGGCTTTAACTAGGCCATTCCAAGACATTTAAATGTTTCCCCTTAAACCACTCGAGTGTTGCTTTAGCAGTATGCTTAGGATCATTGTCCAGCTGGAAGGTGAACCTTCGTCCCAGTCTCAAATCTCTGTAAGTCTGAAACAGTTTTCCCTCAAGAACTCCCTGTATTTAGCGCCATCCCTCATTCCTTCAATTCTGACCAGTTTTCCAGTCCCTGCCGATGAAAATCATCCCCACAACATGATGCTGCCACCACCATGCTTCACTGTTGGGAAGGTGTTCTCGGGGTGATGAGAGGTGTTGGGTTTGCGCCAGACATTTTCCTTGATGGCCAAAAAGCTCAATTTTAGTCTCATCTGACCAGAGTACCTTCTTCCATATGTTTGGGGAGTCTCCCACATGCCTTTTGGCGAACACCAAACGTGTTTGCTTATTTTTATCTTTAAGCAATGGCTTTTTTCTGGCCACTCTTCTGTAAAGCCCAGCTCTGTGGCGTGTACGGCTTAAAGTGGTCCTATGGACAGATACTCCAATCTCCGCTGTGGAGCTTTGCAGCTCCTTCAGGGTTATCTTTGGTCTTTTTGTTGCCTCTCTGATTAATGCCCTCCTTGCCTGGTCTGTGAGTTTTGGTGGGCGGCCCTCTCTTGGCAGGTTTGTTGTGTTGCCATATTCTTTCCATTTCTTAATAATGGATTTAATGGTGCTCCGTGGGATGTTCAAAGTTTTGGATATTTTTTTATAACCCAACCCTGATCTGTACTTTTCCACAACTTTGTCCCTGACCTGTTTGGAGAGCTCCTTGGTCTTCATGGTGCCGCTTGCTTGGTGGTGCCCCTTGCTTAGTGGTGTTGCAGACTCTGGGACCTTTCAGAAAATATGCATTAACCATAAGACCAAATGACAGCAAATGTAGGAATGTAGGCCCATGGCACATCTTTACTTAGTTTGAGAAAAGTCAAGAGATTGGTCAAAAGATGGCTGAGTTATTGACTAATAAAAAATCTGATTGTATGTGTCCATCTAAACCCCTATAAATCCACTCCACAGTGACCTATCAGCTTGAAACCTGTCAAAGTGATCATGAACATCCCTAAGATGAACAACACTGAATTTGGTATTGATATCTCAAAAAACAAGGAAGCTATTAACAACTAATTCTTTGCATGTGTAACGCTAATGCTCAAAATCATCTTCAATCATTTTCTCCTCATAAACCATACGTCAGAATCACTCCAGATTTTGTATTTAGACTCACTACATCAGTTTTTAATGGTTTTGAGAATAATATTATGGCTGCACTGTACCTATAGATGCATGTTAACACATATGCTAATGATAAAAAAATACTTTAAAAATCTTCTTCTCATGAACCATAAGTCAGATTGACTCCAGATTCGGCATATAGACTCAATGAATTAGTATCTAGGGAATTTGAGAATGATTAATTGCTGCATTCAAAGTTGGTTATGCTACACCGCTAGATGGCACCATATAACACCCGGGCTATGAGAACTGAACTGATGGACATAGGGCCATGAAATCTGGTATGTAAAACGTTTGTATATATAGATGGGTAAATATGATTATTTAATGACTAACTTATATCTGTACCCCACACATACAATTATCTGTACGGTCCCTCACTCGAGCTGTGAATTCCGAACACAGATTCAACCACAAAGACCAGGGAAGTTTTCCAATGGCTCACAAAGAAGGCACCTATTGGTAGATGGGTAAATATTTCAAAAAAGCAGACATTGAATATTCCTTTGAGCATGGAGATTTTATTAATTACACTGTAGATAGTGTATCAATACACCCAGTCAATACATAGATACAGGCGCCCTTCCTAACTCAGTTGCCGGAGAGGAAGGAAACCACTCATGGATTTCACCATGAGGCCAATGGTGACTTTAAAACAGTTCCAGAGTTTAATGGCTGTGATAGGAAAAAACTGAGGATGGATCAATAACATTATAGTTACTCCACAATACTAACAAAATGGCATAGTGAAAAGAATGAAGCCTGTACAGAATACAAATATTCCAAAACATGCAACCTGTTTGCAATAAGGTACTCAAGTAAAACTGCAAAAACAAATGGCAAAGAAATTAACTTTATGTCCTGAATACAAAGCGTTATGTTTGGGGCAACAGCACTTCACTAGGTACCACTCTTCATATTTTCAAGCATGATGGTGGCTCCATCATGTTATGGGTATGCTTGTCATCGGCAAGGGAGCTTTTTAGGATAAAAAGAAACGGAATAGAGCTAACCACAGGCAGAATCCTAGAGGAAAACCTAGTTAAGTCTGCTTTCCAACAGATACTGGGAGACAAATTCACCTTTCAGCAGGACAATAACCTAAAACACAAAGCCAAATATAGACTGGAGTCGCTTACCAAGACTACATTGAATGTTCCTGAGTGGCCTAGTTACAGTTTTGACTTAAATCGGCATGAAGGTCTATAGCAAGACTTGAAAATGACTGTCTAGCAATGATCACTTTGTCATTATGGGGTATTGTGTGTAGATGGGTGAGAGATGTATTTATTTTTTATCCATTTTGAATTCAGGCTGTAACACAACAACATGTGGAATAAGTCAAGGGGTATGAATACTTTCTGAAGGCACTGTATTTCGTATCACTGAAGAGATGCTTTTTTATTTAACCTATGTTTAGTCTCGTTGAGATAAACATATATTTTTCAAGAGAGACCTGGTGCTTAAACACCATGAGAATCTCTCTGACTCCACATACTGCATAGATATACATGTATTGTATATGATTTGCAATAAATGCTCTCTTTGTGAGAAGTACAGTGTCTGTTCACCCACCTACCATGAAGGGTGTGATGTCTCTCCCACCAATCAGAGAAAAAAGGTGCCTTTCTGCCTTTCTCTGTAACTGTCAGGCAAAAAAGCCTACTGATCAGATTACTGCACCAGTCCATTTGGTTCATGGTGGGGGAGAGTAACCACTCAGGATGGACTGCAAGATGACCCCACTATTCATCTGTATGGAGATTCTGCATCTCACTAAGTACTGTATGTGCACATCTAGACTGCCTAGTCCATTTCTCCTGTGTTTTGGAAGCTATTTACTGTAAGATAACTGACATTGTTCTCTACCTTGGCTCAACTTATTGACATGGCTTTACTGTAACTATTATGCAAATGAGGATGTCCATTTATTAATTTTACAATCTACATCAATTAGCCAAACATGAGCCCTTTACCTCTGAATGATTTACACCATGGGCAAATATTTCCCTCTCCAACTATGTCCAGTGTGTTCCAGATGGTACCTTGCGTCCCATTGTATCTCAGTCTGTGCAGACAGAATCGATGCCCCTAGGGGAATCTGTGACTCTGGAGTGGTTCTCCACAGTAGACTCAGTGTTATCCTGGATATGGCTGAAACACACACCAGGACATGGACTTGTACCCATTGTAACAACCTACTATGAAAAAGTGCAATTCCAGCAAGATTTCGCAAATACATCTCGTTTTGAGCTGCAAAAGGATGATTTTAGCTTTAATTTGACCCTATGGAATGTTGCCCATGCTTATGTTGGATCGTATCATTGTGGAATATTCTGGTATAATTAATACTATTTTGGAGATGGTGCATATCTCATGTGTCAAGTTAAGTGAAGAAACAGGAAGTTTAATAGCATACTATGTTTCCAGTTTTAATTTCTGAGTTTCTCTTTAGCCAATGAATAACTCAAGTGAACGAAACCAAGCTGGACATTGAGGGTAAGAACTTCTAAGAGCTGATTTAAAAAAAGCTATGCATATAACTTTACATATTCTGATAATCATGTCTTCTCCTCACACGGGGCACCAAATGTAGTTACAGTTATTATAAACTATATGTGGGGGTTTCTGGTCAGCATCCTTAAGAATTCCCTCCTTTTACACTTATGTATTTATTTTTCTACTTCTCAAGAGAATCAAGCCGGATTGCTGAACTACATAACGTTTGTTCTGGTTGATATCATTACTATCCTCATAGCAACACACATTCTCCTTTGTCTTGTGGAGGAGAAAAGTCTGCAAAAGTCTAAGTAGAACCGGGACAAAATAAACACTTAAAGGTTTTTTTCCTAATTACTAAGAGATCGATAGAACTAGAGACACCATATTTTATGACAAACAACTTATATATGTCCACTACCATTAGCAACTGTAATTTCATTTCTAGGTTAAATGCGTTGAAATTAAATAGACCAAGAACAGAACTACCGCAACATTACTTTTGTACCTGCTGGTGGGGTGGGAGTAACACAGCCATGGGACGGAAGTAACAGCTGACAAAAAGTGCAGAATATCTGTTATCTAAATTTTTCTGGTTTGTAATGTTTGTTACTTTCAACAAATGTACTATCAGCCATAATTTCATGTTCGTGTCGATTTGAATAATGAATGCTACAGGTTCGAAATTTATGAAAATGAACCATGCGTCAGCATCGCAATGTTGCACAACCACAATATTTTGCCTTACAATATTAATCGGACAAAAATGGATGACATAATAGTTATATTAACAATCATTTTCTCATCTCACTTTAATGGGAATGTAGAAGGAGATGTTTTTCACAATTTTCAATTACTATTCATGCTTAGCCCTACCAATCAGGTGCACTCCAGCTGTCCTTGTCATGCGTGCTCCTTGTGTCTTGATAGAATAAACATTTTTATTTTCTTCACAAACGGGAAACTCATCATGGTTATTACATTTCCATGGCTTGGTACACAAGGAAATTCACCCCCAGAATCATAAAGATACCTATTTTTAACCACTAACCTGTCTATAAAAGCTTATGTGAGATGCTGATCCATCAAGTCGATTGATTATTGCCTAATTCTAAAAATGACATAATTTTCAAACATTGTTGATATTTTGCTAACATTATAATAGCAATATGAATTAGAGGGGACAATGGCCTGTGCTTAAACTTTGTTTTATTTTATTCCAGGTCATCAGTTAACAATGTGTTACTTTTGTCCCTCCCATCTCTCCTGTAACTTCTTCCAGGCTAACACCCAAGACTAGCTAGCATGATACTTGAGACCTATGCTGTCATTTAGTCACTAGATGTGTTAAGAAAATGACATTGTTGGAACCTTAAACAACTAAACACAACTCTTCAACCGAAAAACTCTTCTGGGTCTGTTTTTTTACTTACATCGTTCAAACACTCTTTGCCACATGACAGCAAAGGGGAAGGTTTGCCTAGCGGTGTGCGTGCTTACTCCACTAGGGGTGTGGCGGCTTCTTGGGCATTGTTCAGGGGCATGACGATAGGTGATATCTGTGCTGCAGCGAGTTGAGGTTCCCCACATGTCTTCGCTTGGATGTAACTGCTCCCAGTCTGGCTCATAGTGTTCTTATGGCTGGGTCCGGGAGCAGGTGTTAGGCAGCACGCCGGTTGCGCATTTTTATCCGGGTTACCACAGTTCCCCTGTGGGATTGAGCCTTGTGCTGCCATGGTTCGTTGATGAGGCGGCGTGCGAATGCGCATTATCAAGTCACAGAGTGTGCATTTATCAGGGTTACCACAGTTCCCTGTGTGTTTGAGCCTTGGGCTGCCATGGCAGCGCATGAGTACACAGATTCCAGGGTACTGCAGGTTTTCCTGTGGGTTTGAGCCTCGGGCTGCTGTGGTTCACGGACTCTGGTCAATGCTATGCAGCGCGCGTGTGCGCTTTGCCAAGTTACAGCAGCTGTTCTGTTGTTGTGGACTTCCGGTTCCTTGTATGAGTTCTGACATTTCAGGCTTGTAAGGTAAGTATTGTGCTCTGTGTGGAAAGTTTCTTGGAACTGTGGTGTCTATGGACTTGGGCTGCAGCGTGTCAGTGCACAGAGCCAAGTTGCAGCAGGATCTGGTTCCCTATATGGGTCTCTGACTGCTCAGGCTTCTTGAGGCTCTGACAGTTCAGGCATCTCAGGTAAGTATTAGACCCCCTTTTGGAGCCAGTGGAACCTCTGTGTGATTGGGCTGCCGTGTGCCTCCTAGTTTGCTACCCTCTGAGCCGGCTTGGGGCGGGATTATGTGTCCCCATAGTATGTTATATCGAGTGACCGATTGAAGGGGAACATACAGTCATGAATATAAGTACCTGTTCCCTAAAGGAGAGAACGAGGTATAACATATGTTGACCCCACGCCGTCAGGGTGTTTGGGCTCGATCAAGAGCGGTAGTGAATTCATTGGCCCGTTGGGCATATTTATTGTTTTCTTCAGGTGAATTTGATTGGTTGTTGAATCCCCATTGTGTGATATACTCTACCTCATTCCCTCCTTCATGCTGACCATTTCAGATGCAAGGCAGTCAGATACAGTTGAAGTTGGAAGTTTACATACACCTTAGTCAAATACATTTAAACTCTGTTTTTACAATTCCTGACATTTAATCCTAGTAAAAATGTCCTGTCTCAGTTCAGATCACCACTTTATTTTAAGAATGTGAAATGTCAGAATAATAGTAGAGAGAATTATTTATTTCAGCTTTTATTTCTTTCATCACATTCCCAGTGGGTCAGAAGTTTACATACACTCAATTAATATTTGGTAGCATTGCCTTTAAATTGTTTAACTTGGGTCAAATGTTTCGGGTAGCCTTCCACAAGCTTCCCACAATAAGTTGGGTGTATTTTGGCCCATTTCCTCCTGACAGAGCTGGTGTAACTGAGTCAGGTTTGTAGGCCTCCTTGCTCGCACACGCTTTTTCAGTTCTGCCCACAAATGTTCTATAGGATTGAGGTCAGGGCTTTGTGATGGCCACTCCAATACCTTGACTTTGTTGTCCTTAACCCATTTTGCCACAACTTTGGAAGTATGCTTGGGGTCATTGTCCATTTGGAAGACCCATATGCAACCAACCTTTAACTTCCTGACTGATGTCTTGAGATGTTGCTTCAATATATCCATTTAATTTTCCTTCCTCATGATGCCATCTATTTAGTGAAGTGCACCAGTCCCTCCTGCAGCAAAGCACCCCCACAGCATGATGCTGCCACTCCCTTCACGGTTGGGATGGTGTTCTTCGGCTTAGGACTCGTTTTACTGTGAATATACAGTGGGGAAAAAAAGTATTTAGTCAGCCACCAATTGTGCAAGTTCTCCCACTTAAAAAGATGAGAGAGGCCTGTAATTTTCATCATAGGTACACGTCAACTTGACAGACAAAATGAGAAAAAATAATCCAGAAAATCACATTGTAGGATTTTTAATGAATTTATTTGCAAATTATGGTGGAAAATAAGTATTTGGTCACCTACAAACAAGCAAGATTTCTGGCTCTCACAGACCTGTAACTTCTTCTTTAAGAGGCTCCTCTGTCCTCCACTCGTTACCTGTATTAATGGCACCTGTTTGAACGGGTTATCAGTATAAAAGACACCTGTCCACAACCTCAAACAGTCACACTCCAAACTCCACTATGGCCAAGACCAAAGTGCTGTCAAAGGACACCAGAAACAAAATTGTAGACCTGCACCAGGCTGGGAAGACTGAATCTGCAATAGGTAAGCAGCTTGGTTTGAAGAAATCAACTGTGGGAGCAATTATTAGGAAATGGAAGACATACAAGACCACTGATAATCTCCCTCGATCTGGGGCTCCACGCAAGATCTCACCCCGTGAGGTCAAAATGATCACAAGAACGGTGAGCAAAAATCCCAAAACCACACGGTGGGACCTAGTGAATGACCTGCAGAGAGCTGGGACCAAAGTAACAAAGCCTACCATCAGTAACACACTACGCCGCCAGGGACTCAAATCCTGTTGTGCCAGACGTGTCCCCCTGCTTAAGCCAGTACATGTCCAGGCCCGTCTGAAGTGTGCTAGAGTGCATTTGGATGATCCAGAAGAGGATTGGGAGAATGTCATATGGTCAGATGAAACCAAAATATAACTTTTTGGTAAAAACTCAACTCGTCGTGTTTGGAGGACAAAGAATGCTGAGTTACATCCAAAGAACACCATACCTACTGTGAAGCATGGGGGTGGAAACATCATGCTTTGGGGCTGTTTTTCTGCAAAGGGACCAGGACGACTGATCCGTGTAAAGGAAAGAATGAATGGGGCCATGTATCGTGAGATTTTGAGTGAAAACCTCCTTCCATCAGCAAGGGCATTGAAGATGAAACGTGGCTGGGTCTTTCAGCATGACAATGATCCCAAACACACCGCCCGGGCAACGAAGGAGTGGCTTCGTAAGAAGCATTTCAAGGTCCTGGAGTGGCCTAGCCAGTCTCCAGATCTCAACCCCATAGAAAATCTTTGGAGGGAGTTGAAAGTCCGTGTTGCCCAGCGACAGCCCCAAAACATCACTGCTCTAGAGGAGATCTGCATGGAGGAATGGGCCAAAATACCAGCAACAGTGTGTGAAAACCTTGTGAAGACTTACAGAAAACGTTTGACCTGTGTCATTGCCAACAAAGGGTATATAACAAAGTATTGAGAAACTTTTGTTATTGACCAAATACTTATTTTCCACCATAATTTGCAAATAAATTCATAAAAAATCCTACAATGTGATTTTCTGGATTTTTTTTCTCAATTTGTCTGTCATAGTTGACGGGTACCTATGATGAAAATTACAGGCCTCTCTCATCTTTTTAAGTGGGAGAACTTGCACAATTGGTGGCTGACTAAATACTTTTTTCCCCACTGTAGATACTTTTGTACCTGTTTCCTCCAGCATCTTCACAAGGTCCTTTGCTGTTGTTCTGGGATTGATTTGCACTTTCCGCACCAAAGTACGTTCATCTCTTGGAGACAGCACGCGTCTCCTTGCTGAGCGGTATGACGGCTGCGTGGTCCCATGGTGTTTATACTTGCGTACTATTGTTTGTACAGATGAACGTGGTACCTTCAGGCGTTTGGAAATTGCTCCCAAGGATGAACCAGACTTGTGGAGGTCTACCATTTATTTTCTGAGGTCTTGGCTGATTTATTTTGATTTTCCCATGATGTCAAGCAAAGAGGCACTGAGTTTGAAGGTAGGCCTTGAAATACATCCACAGGTACACCTCCAATTGTCTCAAATGATGTCAATTAGCCTATCAGAAGCTTCTAAAGCCATGGCATCATTTTCCTGAATTTTCCAAGCTGTTTAAAGGCACAGTCAACTTAGTGTATGTAAACTTCTGACCCACTGGAATTGTGAATTATAAGTGAAATAATCTGTCTGTAAACAATTGTTGGAAAAATTACTTATGTCATGCACAAAGTAGATGTCCTAACCGACATGCCAAAACTATAGTTTGTTAACAAGAAAATTGTGGAGTGGTTGAAAAACGAGTTTTAATGTATATAAACTTCAGAATGCAACTGTCACGCCCTGACTCAGAGGACGCTTGTATGTTGAGTCAGGGTGTGTATTTTCCTTGCTGTGTTTGTCCATGTTGTACATTCTAGGATGTATAGATCTATGTTGGCCTGTGTGGTTCCCAATCAGAGGCAGCTGTCGCTCGTTGTCTCTGATTGGGTCCATACTTAGGCAGCCCTTTGGCACTAGTGGGTTGTGGGATCTTGTTCCGTGTTAAGGTATGTTGTGCTGCCTTGGACTTCACGTTTCGTTGGTTTGTTGTTTTGTCGGTTGTTTATTCATTTAAATAAACATGTACGCATATCACGCTGCGCCTTGGTCCGTCCCGTCTGTAAACGAACGTGACAGAAGATCCCACCAAACGAGGACCAAGCAGCGTGCCCAGGAGGAGCGAATAGCCATGGCACAGGTGGGCAAATTGTGGTCATGGGAAGAGATATTCGCGGGGAAAGGGCCATGGGTGAAGGTAGATGCCCAGGCAGGAGAGGAGCAACGGCAACACGGAAGCCGGCCGAGGAGGAAGCCAGAGAAGCAGCCCCAATAAAAACATTTTGGGGGGGCTAAAGGGGTGGTCGGGGAGCGAGAGAGAAGAGCCCCGACCACTGCACCCGGTTGGTTTCAAGATTGGGTCCCCACGACCATGGGAAGAGGAGTGGGAACAGTATTATACTGAGGAGTCGGAGGATGACGACGACGACGAGTTTCTGTTCCCTAACTCGTGGGGGCTCCCGGAGGAGTCCTCATGGGATGAGGAGTGCCGTCGACGGAGACCCGAGAGGCAACCCCAAGAACATTTTGGGGGGGGGCACACGGTGTGGACGACGAGGCATTAGGAGGCCGCGACAGGGCGGATCTGCAGGTTAGGAGAGGAGGCCACCATGTTACGGGGGCTATTGGTTCAGAGGGAGCAGGAGTTATTCGGTCAGAGGGAGGCGCTACAGGAGGCTATAAGGGAGAAGGAAAGTGTAGAGGCACATCGAGAGGAGCTGGTTAGGCAGCAGAAGGAGCGGGGGTTAATAAAGGAACCCAGTCCCGCTCCTCGCACCAAGCAAGTGGTGCGTGTCGCCAGTCCAGTCCGGCCCGTTCCTGCTTCCCACACTAAGCCAGTGGTGCGTGTTCCCAGTACGGCCCGACCCGTTCCTGCCCCTCGCACCAAGCCAGTGGTGCGCGTCGCCAGTCCGGTCCGGCCTGTTCCTGCCCCTCGCACCAAGCCAGTGGTGCGCGTCGCCAGCCCGGCCCGGCCTGTTCCTGCCCCTCGCACCAAGCCAGTGGTGCGTGTGTCCAGTCCGGCACGGCCCGTGCCTGTTCCACCGGTCAGCTGCTCCACTCCGGAGCCAGAGCAGTCCGCTCCACCGGGGTCCAGTCCAGCCCCGGTCAGCGGCTCCACTCTGGAGCCAGAGGAGTCCGGTGCCTGATCCAGCTCCGGTCAGCTTCTCCACTCCGGAGCCAGAGCAGTCCGCTCCACCGGGGTCCAGTCCAGATCCGGTCAGCGGCTCCACTCCGGAGCCAGAGCAGTCCGCTCCACCGGTGCCCAGTCCAGCTCCGGTCAGCGGCTCCAGTCCGGAGCCTGTGTAGTCCGCTCCACCGGTGCCCGGTCCAGCTCCGGTCAGCGGCTCCAGTCCAGACCCAGACGTCAGCCCCTCTCCAGGTTCGGGGTCTCCCACACCAGGGTCCAGACAGGGCTTGGTACTTCGTGGGAGGAAGGAGAGGGGAAGCAGCGCGCCGAGGTCCAGACCAGACCAGGGGCGCAACAGGGTGGCAGAGAGTAAGTGGTCGTCACGCCCTGAGCCGGATCCGCCTCCGAGGCGGAATGCCCACCCGGCCCCTACCCTGTTATATTTATGTTGTGCGGTCGGAGTCCGCACCTTTGGGGGGGGGGGGGGGGGGGGGGGGGGGTACTGTCACGCCCTGACTCAGAGGACGCTTGTATGTTGAGTCAGGGTGTGTATTTTCCTTGCTGTGTTTGTCCATGTTGTACATTCTAGGATGTATAGATCTATGTTGGCCTGTGTGGTTCCCAATCAGAGGCAGCTGTCGCTCGTTGTCTCTGATTGGGGACCATTCTTAGGCAGCCTTTTGGCACTAGTGGGTTGTGGGATCTTGTTCCGTGTTAAGGTATGTTGTGCTGCCTTGGACTTCACGTTTCGTTGGTTTGTTGTTTTGTCGGTTGTTTATTCATTTAAATAAACATGTACGCATATCACGCTGTGCCTTGGTCCATCCCGTCTGTAAACGAACGTGACAGCAACTGTATAGGGATGCATTACTTTGCTGCACAGGATTATGAAACTGTGACCTTTGGGAAAGGTTTGTTTTTGAAGTATGATGTCTGAGTCAGTCCAGCCAGAAGAGTCAAGGTAATTTCTTTCACTTATTTCACCAATTTACCATTTACAGTGTTTCATAGCATGCATAATTTGTAACCTGTATTGCAAGATCAAATGTACTATTACCTGATATTCCTCCAGTAAAACATTTATTGAAAATTAGCAGATTGAAATCATCAAATCCTTTGGTTTCAGAGTATGATTTCCACCTGATTTTTACCGCTCTTGCTCTGGTCACATCAAACATTGTCATTGTGATCATTCTACTGTCATGTGGGATATGCAAGGAAAGGAACAGAGGACCTAGAGGTGTAGAAAGACTTGTAATTTGCATCTAATGTGCATACTAATAGCTACTAATCGATGTACTGTTATGTATGTTTCACAGTAATGTTCGACGATGTGTCCATGTAAGAGGAAAATATACCGCTTCAATAAGATTGCTCGTAAACTGTACTTAATGTCATTTTTTTCCTTCCTATTTTTAATCTGAACTGATAGATTACCAACTGCACCAGTCGATCAGGTAAACTTTAACACATAATCTTCCCCATTATAAATTATTAGACTATTATTATTTATGATACATTATTATATTTTAGCAATCAGACACCTGATCTCAAAATAAAAGGCTACATACAATGCAAATAAATCTGATAATGTCATTATATCCTCACACGGAGCACCAAATATAGGTACAGGTATTATTAACTACACCATTTGTTTTGGTCAGCAACCTTACGAATTCCTTCATTTGAAACTTAGATATTATTTTTCTCCTTCTCAAGAGAATCAAACCCGATTCCTGAACAACATAACGTTTGTTCTGATAGTTATCATCATCATCTTGATCGTAACAAACATTCTCTCTGTTACATTCTCAAGCAGAATTACAACCCAGATTACAAGAGGCCAGATAGACAGACCTGAGCGTCCTGTTGGGCTGACACTATTGTTTTTAGCTTCTATGATCAAATGTAATGCAGCGAAGCTCACAATACCTTTAAGGTATACTATAGTGTGACTAAAAGCCAATGCTCCTGCCAAACGCATGTGTTCTTCCGTTCAGTGATCTACTTGGTGCAGTCAGAGGAGTGCCCCCTATTGGTTAACAACCACCAATTCCAGCCAATAGTTATCCACCCCAGATAGAATGGCCAAAATAATGACTAGACGTAACTTTAATGGGTGTCATCACTGTGAAAACATATTTTTAATGTTTACTATCCAGACCCGTTATTACTTTAAAATTGACAATATACAGTATGTTTTACCAACTTAAAATGGTAATTCTGGGAACTTCTATAATGATAAACTACAGCCTACAATAATATATTATCATTCTCTCTCTCAAACCAAATGTAAGAGTAGAAAATCAGTGGTTGGTGGTAAGAACAAAATAATCTGTGGTCATTTTATGCAGATATGGCTCTCACACCATGTCCCGCCCCTAATCACAAATTACTTTCATCTAAAGATGTAGTCCTTCCTTCATGGTCTGGCAGTGTAGATCTAAACACAGAATGGCACGCATATATTTACCAGCTCTTGTCCTCTACAGCTTGTGTACGTTTTCTAAGTCATTATGATTTTGGGATTCATAGTTAAGACTATGCTTAGGTATAGTAGTGCATGAGTGAACAGAAAGTTCTATGTTTGGAATTGTTTCTAAACCTTTGTCTTCTCTCTTTCAGATCTGACCCCTGTTGTGTCGGTCTCTCCTCCTTCCTCAGTGGTGGTCCATCCTGGAGATAATGTCACTTTGCAGTGCACCAATGTCACTGGAGCTCCAGGACACATTGGCTGGTTCAAGCAAGTCAACTACTCAGAGCCCCTAGGCATCGCGTCTATGTACAGCTCTGAGTCAACTGTCCGGCATCACAATGGTTTTCAGCCCAGCCATATGGAAATGTTTGTCAGCCATAGAATAATCTTCCTCAAAATCACAGAGTTGGATGTAGCTGATTCTGGTCTTTACTTCTGTGGAATGTTCGATAAATACATCATCTTCACCAATGCAACTGTCCTGAAGGTCCATGGTAATCTTTTCAACAACTTGTCTGCTATGACTCCAAATGCACTAACATGTATCTGAGGTATCAGAGATATTATTGAGAAAATGTTGGAGATATAATACTATCGTACTACAGTGGGAATAACAGTGGGAATATTTATCTCTCCTAATCTTCCAAAAGGTCACAAAGATTCTGAAAAGGACCTTACAGAGCATTGTGAAGAAGGTATGTTTATTCTGTTATTTTAAGTGAGAATCTTTCGTAAATGAATTTATATGATGTACCATGAAAGTACCACAGAATATAAATAAAGTACAACAGCGTCTTATAGCAACCTAGACTGAGAATTCTTGTTATTTCAGTTGCTGATCAACAAATGAGAATCCTGGTCCTTCTCTCCATCATAAGAACTGGAGTTCTCCTCTGCTGTCTGACCTGCTTCATCATCATCTACACCACCAGGAAATAAATAAAGCTAAGGCCAATGTCAGTAGAGTATATGTAGTATGTTACTTGCTTTCACCAAATCCCTATGTACAGGGGTGTCAGTTGGGTATGGCAGGGTATGGCAGTCAAACATGTAAAAGTAGGCTACAAAAAAGTAGACTAAAATCATTCTAATCCTAATTAAAATACAACGGATGTTTAGCATATTGATTGGCTGGGTTTAGGACCATGCGGAGCATCGCTAGGGGAGAAGCTGCCAGCCTGTGCGCCTTTTCTCTCACTTTAAGAAAGCAGAGCAGTGCCCGGAAGTTTGCTTTGCTGGTCAGCCGTTTAGGCAGTGCGCCGATTGCTTTGAATTTGATGTCGCATTTGAACTCGGCCATGTAAGCCTTGCCGCCAGTTGTTTTATGCACCGGTTACATCCATATTGATGTCGGCACAATTAGCTATATAATTACTCGTGCCTGTACAGAAATAAATAAAATCATTCAAAATACAACACCAGAGAGCATGATTTGGCCACAGAGTATCATCTTATTTAAAAAATGGGCTGTGGATTGTTTTAAACGTGCAATTTGAGCAGTGCACGCGGCAAGACAAATAGCCTACCAAATTGCTTATTTTTGAGTTGTGGCGGTTAGTGAAAAGCTGTTAAATATGCCTAGGCCTATCGCATTTTTCAAAATACAATCGTAAGGAAAACATAGTTCAGAAAGAAAATGGCTATTGCTGAAAAGAGAACACAATAAAAAGACAAATCTGTCTCTACCAATTGAGCGAACAGTAGCTTATGTTGTTGGCACCAGCGGAGGCCAAAGCCCCGGTGAGCGCGAGCATATTCACTGTCTTTATCATTGGATCAGTACCACTGGAACGTTTTTTGGGGACAATAATTTCCTCCTTCAGGCTAGATGGACATCATATTGTACAATTTGTGTCTCCCCTTTCCGTAGGCCAGATTAGATGGTTGCATTCAAGACAAGGTCACTTTTAATGATCTGTTGTCAGTGTCACCAGAGTAGGATACTAATTTGTTTATAAAAGGCCACATTTTTCCTGTGCAAAGAATGGAGAAGAAACATCTCTGATTAGACCTACCTGTTCAGAACTGTCTGTTTTGCTAAGAGTGATTGAGTTATATTATTAGCCTAAATTCTGACTGTGCAATCTACTCATCACATTAGGAATAGTAGCCTATCTTACATTAGTCTGCAAATGCGATGCTAGATGTATGAAATCCTTCATTATAAAGGTGCAATTTTATGGTGAAGAAATATCTTCCCCAAACTATGGATGTCTGCATTTGATGTCGGCCTTGTTGTGACTTGATAGCGTGTATTATGCATCTATTTCACATTGCACTGTATGTGCCGTTCCACTAGTAAATAAGTCAATTTATGATGAGATTGAGTATATACTATAGTGTTTGACATTTTATAGGTCACTTTCAATAAAACATCACAATAAGGTGTAGAGCGCTCAATTTGCCTGCTGGGGGGCAAGGAGGCCCACAGCTCCGCTAATATCATCACATTTACATTTACATTTACGTCATTTAGCAGACGCTCTTATCCAGAGCGACTTACAAATTGGTGCATTCACCCTATAGCCAGTGGGATAACCACTTATCCAGAGCGACTTACAAATTGGTGCATTCACCCTATAGCCAGTGGGATAACCACTTTACAAAAGTTTTTTCCTTTTTTTTTTTTTTTTTTTTTTTTAATTAATTCTTTTCTATCTTTCTTTTTTTATTGTTTGTTGATATATTTTTTCCTTTTTTTTGTATTTATTTAAATAATATTTTTTTTTTTTTGGGGGGGGGGGGGGGGGTTAGAAGGATTACTTTATCCTATCCCAGGTATTCCTTAAAGAGGTGGGGTTTCAAATGTCTCCGGAAGGTGGTGAGCGACTCCGCCGTCCTGGCGCCGTGAGGGAGCTTGTTCCACCACTGGGGTGCCAGAGCAGCGAACAGTTTTGACTGGGCTGAGCGGGAACTATGCTTCCGCAGAGGAAGGGGAGCCAGCAGGCCAGAGGTGGATGAACGCAATGCCCTCGTTTGGGTGTAGGGACTGATCAGAGCCTGAAGGTACGGAGGTGCCGTTCCCCTCACAGCTCCATAGGCAAGCACCATGGTCTTGTAACAGATGCGAGCTTCAACTGGAAGCCAGTGGAGTGTGCGGAGGAGCGGGGTGACGTGAGAGAACTTGGGAAGGTTGAACACCAGACGGGCAGCGGCATTCTGGATGAGTTGTAGGGGTTTAATGGCACAGGCAGGGAGCCAAGTAATCAAGACGGGAGATGACAAGTGCCTGGATTAGGACCTGTGCCGCTTCCTGTGTAAGGCAGGGTCGTACTCTCCGAATGTTGTAGAGCATGAACCTGCAGGATCAGGTCACCGCCTTGATGTTAGCGGAGAACGACAGGGTGTTGTCCAGGGTCACGCCAAGGCTCTTCGCACTCTGGGAGGAGGACACAACGGAGTTGTCAACCGTGATGGCGAGATCATGGAACGGGCAGTCCTTCCCCGGGAGGAAGAGCAGCTCCGTCTTGCCAAGGTTCAGCTTGAGGTGGTGATCCGTCATCCATACTGATATGTCTGCCAGACATGCAGAGATGCGATTCGCCACCTGGTTATCAGAAGGGGGAAAGGAGAAGATTAGTTGTGTATCGTCAGCGTAGCAATGATAGGAGAGGCCATGTGAGGATATGACAGAGCCAAGTGACTTGGTGTATAGCGAGAATAGGAGAGGGCCTAGAACTGAGCCCTGGGGGACACCAGTGGTGAGTGCACGTGGTGCGGAGACAGCTTCTCGCCACGCCACTTGGTAGGAGCGACCGGTCAGGTAGGACGCAATCCAAGAGTGAGCCGCGCCGGAGATGCCCAGCTCGGAGAGGGTGGAGAGGAGGATCTGATGGTTCACAGTATCAAAGGCAGCAGACAGGTCTAGAAGGACAAGAGCAGAGGAGAGAGAGTTAGCTTTAGCAGTGCGGAGAGCCTCCGTGACACAGAGAAGAGCAGTCTCAGTTGAATGACCAGTCCTGAAACCTGACTGGTTTGGGTCAAGAAGGTCATTCTGAGAGAGATAGCAAGAGAGTTGGCTAAAGACGGCACGCTCAATAGTTTTGGAAAGAAAAGAAAGAAGGGATACTGGTCTGTAGTTGTTGACATCAGAGGGATCAAGTGTTGGTTTTTTGAGAAGGGGTGCAACTCTCGCTCTCTTGAAGACGGAAGGGACATAGCCAGCGGTCAAGGATGAGTTGATCAGCGAGGTGAGGTAGGGGAGAAGGTCACCGGAGATGGTCTGGAGAAGAGAGGAGGGGATGGGGTCAAGCGGGCAGGTTGTTGGGCGGCCTGCAGTCACAAGTCGCGAGATTTTATCTGGAAAGAGAGGGGAGAAAGAAGTCAAAGCATAGGGTAGGGCAGTGTGAGCAGGACCAGCAGTGTCATTAGACTTAACAAACGAGGATCGGATGTCGTCAACCTTCTTTTCAAAGTGGTTGATGAAGTCATCCACAGAGAGGGAGGGGGGGGGGGGGGGGGGGGGATTCAGCAGGGAGGAGAATGTGGCAAAGAGCTTCCTAGGGTTAGAGGCAGATGCTTGGAATTTAGAGTGGTAGAAAGTGGCCTTAGCAGCAGAAACAGATGAAGAGAATGTAGAGAGAAGGGAGTGAAAAGATGCCAGATCCGCAGGGAGTCTAGTTTTCTTCCATTTCCGCTCAGCTGCCCGGAGCTCTGTTCTGTGAGCTCGCAATGAGTCATCAAGCCACGGAGCTGGAGGGGAGGACCGAGCCGGCCAGGGAGCATAGGGGACACAGAGAGTCAAAGGATGCAGAAAGGGAGGAGAGGAGGATTGAGGAGGCAGAATCAGGAGATTGGAGGGAGAAGGATTGAGCAGAGGGAAGAGATGATAGGATGGAAGAGGAGAGAGTAGTGGGAGAGAGAGAGCGAAGGTTGCGGCGGCGCATTACCATCTGTGTAGGGGCAGAGTGAGTAGTGTTGGAGGAAAGCGAGAGAGAAAACGATACAAAGTAGTGGTCGGAGACATGGAGGGGAGTTGCAGTGAGATTAGTAGAAGAGCAGCATCTAGTAAAGATGAGGTCAAGCGTATTGCCTGCCTTGTGAGTAGGGGGGGGACGGTGAGAGGGTGAGGTCAAAAGAGGAGAGGAGTGGAAAGAAGGAGGCAGAGAGAAATGAGTCAAATGTAGATGTAGGGAGGTTGAAATCCCCCAAAACTGTGAGGGGTGAGCCATCCTCAGGAAAGGAACTTATCAAGGCGTCAAGCTCATTGATGAACTCTCCAAGGGAACCTGGAGGGCGATAGATGACAAGGATATTAAGCTTAAATGGGCTAGTGACAGTGACAGCATGGAATTCAAATGAGGAGATAGACAGATGGGTTAGGGGAAAAATTGAGAATGTCCACTTGGGAGAGATGAGGATTCCTGTGCCACCACCCCTCTGACCAGATGCTCTCGGGGTATGCGAGAACACATGGTCAGACGAGGAGAGAGCAGTAGGAGTAGCAGTGTTTTCAGTGGTAATCCATGTTTCCGTCAGCGCCAGGAAGTCGAGGGACTGGAGGGTAGCATAGGCTGGGATGAAGTCAGCCTTGTTGGCAGCAGAACGGCAGTTCCAGAGGCTGCCTGAGACCTGGAACTCCAGGTGTGTGGTGCGTGCAGGGACCACCAGGTTAGAGAGGCAGCAGCCACGCGGTGTGAGGCGTTTGTGTAGCCTGTGCGGAGAGGAGAGAACAGGGATAGGCAGAGGCATAGTTGACAGGCTGTAGCAAATGGCTACAATAATGCAGAGGAGATCGGAATGAAATGAACTAAACATTTGGGAAAGGAGAGAGTAGGTTGAAGTGCATAGTCAGACCTACACATTTCCTGATTATTCCATGCAAAACAATTGTGCACATTTAGCTCTATCATCAGAGTTATACAGCAAGTAACTGTATGTTTTTCATGATCAGTAAACATCAATTCATCATTGATCAATTGATCATTAGCAGTGAT